GCTGTCGGCGGCGCCCGGCGACGGCTCAGGACACAGTTCATTTTTCTGCCGCGCCACAGAGCGCCATCTGATTAGTTTCATGTTAAATATCATTCGAATGTGCGCGTCTGGTGTGTGATACTTTAAACTGTCATGTACGCGCCGTGTCGCGGCGCCGAGCGGCGCTTCTGGTGTGCGACCTGCTTTATAGAAGGGGTAATAAAAGGAGTGAAAACATATTTTACTATTCATCCATTAATGGATGCTTAAGAAAAAATCCCTTTTCCGCTATGTGCTATGTTGTTGTTAAAAAATAGTTCCCTTTCAGTATTATTTGCAGCATCAAGCTGTATAGGGTTCCTTATAACTTATGGCTATAACTTATAGCCTTGAAACACAAAACAGCATTCATAAATTCCGCACAGAGGGTTGTTGCTATGGGTTGTAATTTGCCTTGACCTGTAAACTTATTGTACTTTTTTTCTGGGCTCTTAAATTTTATTTTAACATCATGTTGGCCTTGTGAGCTCACATTAATGGTGAACTGGCTCCGAGTCAAAAGCTCTTTTATAAACGAGTGGTCTGAGGTAAACAGTCAAGATCATTAACCTTGCTTGAGAGACAGAAGCTGCATTCATTTTTCCTGTTTATGAGTGAACAACAGCAACATATACTGGGCATATGTCGGATATGTGTGCGTATATGATTTTCTGTGATATGATTTTAATTATGCATTACAAAACGTTACAAATATAAGGGATGTATTAAGTGCAGATGGGAAAATACATCAATGCATTGTGAATCAAATAATTGTTCTGCATTGATTCAGAATTCTTCCTAATATAATTTTCAATTTAATTCTAAGATTAATTTTACTACCAGATGGTATTGTATGCTTTCCAAACAGCCACATTGCACATAACACTTGAATCTTAAAAAAAAAAAAAAAAAAAAAAAAATATATATATATATATATATATATGGTACCACTTTAGAATGACTATCCGTTATAACTAGTTAATAGACCATTAATAAACTGTTAGTTAACAAGTTATAAATGACTTGTTAAACAAAAGTTAATAGTTTGTTAATTATTTATAACTGTTCCTTATAGATGGCTAATATATCACTTACAAGCTGTTAGTTAACAAGTTGTAAATGACTTCTTAACTGTATTTTAATGATTTATAACTATACCTAATAAATTAGTAATAGATCATGAACAAGCGGTTAGTAAATAACTTAATAAAGGCTTGTTAAGTATCAGTTAATAGTGTATATTTGTTATTGGGACGTTATTCTAAAGTTGCAGCTATTCTTCATTTATTAACTGTTAGTAAATGAGGAATAGTTGCAACTTTAGAATAACGTCCCAATAACATGCTACAGCTAATAACTAACACTTAACTATTACATTTACTCACGCTTTACAGATCA